ACACACACTCTCTCTCTCTCAAACACAGACACACACACACACACACACACACACACACACACACACACACACACACATACACACACACACACACACACACACACACAAAAATGCAGAGACACCTCACCATGACCAGTACACACAAGCTTGAATTTTGAGCACACAGACCAGTAGCTCTGTGTGCCTCTCGCTCACTCTAAACATATATTTAAGTACAGATGCACGTACCATGCTCTCCAAACACTCTCATCACACTCACACACACATACACACACGTACACAAACACACAACCCTTCTCCTGCTGGGTATGAAACCGGAGATGAGTCATGGTGTGTGGGGGCATAACAACTTTCCTTCTATCCCTCTACCCCCCTCTCTGTCTTTCATATCTTTCCTCATGCAGTGCTATCTTGTTTTCACTCATTCTCTCTCCCTCTCTTTCTCCCCCTCCCTCCCCTGAGGCTCGGCTCTCTCGCCTAGAGACACAGAGGTTGTTTACAAGGCAAGTGAAGGGGGATAAGAGCTGTTTTCATTTAGCTTCCGTTTCTTTGACCACTGTCCTCCTGCCGTCCTATCCTCCATGTTTCAATCCCCAATTCCTCATCCATCCCTTGCCTTTTGATCCTTCTTTCATACCTCATCTTCCATCCATCAACTGCTCTTTTACTCTCCATCCTTTCATCCATCCATCCATCAATCACTCCATCTTTCCCCTCATCATCTCTTTATCAACCTTTTAACTCGGATTCCTCTCATCATATGACTTTGAAGCTGAGCCTGGAGGAATGTGTGTGCGAATGCGACCATATGCATCAACTCTCCCCGTTCACTATGTCATGTGAAACTTGAGCATGCAGACCTTTTTAAGCCTCACATGTGTACATATGCACACGTGTGTGTGTGTGTGTGTGTGTGTGTGTGTGTGTGTATGGGCGGGGGATGTAGCGTGTGTGTATTTGTGTCTGCTGCGTTAAGCGGTGAGCTCTGATTGGCTGGGAAAGGGGGTAAGGACCCCCACGTGGTGCGTTGTATCGCATTAGTTGTAACGTAGTGAAGACTAGGAGGATGGGGGTGTGTCGTTCATGAATGGAGCGCTTACGTCATGTAAACCATACCCTATATCTTGCTAAAGAAGGCTTCAGGCAGATATGTGTGTAATGCAGAAATATGTGTCAGATAAGAAGGATGGGGATCTACTGAGCTGAAGGATTTATGTGTGTGTGTGTGTGTGTGTGTGTCTGCCTGCAGGCGGTTTAGCTAGCTGTCATGTTACCAGCTCTCTGCTGCGCTCTGCTTCCTAACTGACTAACCAGCATGTTGACCACAAAGGTATTACTAAGATGAGGGGGATTTGTGTGTGTGTGTATGCCAATATTTGTTTCCCATATAAGAACTTATGAATATGATATAACTTCTGATTCAATACATTTTTGGTCTTATGTAAAAAAAAAATTAAGACATATTATTTTGAAGAATGCAAATAGACAGAATAATGAATATGAAGACATTTTAACACTTTGAATTTTTTTGCATTAAACTTGCTTCTTTGTAAGTGAAACTTAGAGGACACAAACACTCAAACAAATACAAACAATACAATTCATATTAATGTGAGTTATGAGTTGCTTGATCACACAATAATGGTTTAACTGTAGTAGTCAAATATTGGCTGTTAATAATAACTAACCTGGTCTAATGTGTGTCACTAAGGTTATGTTTTGTTTGAGTTTCCGGGATTGTTCTGGTTACCTATAGGAGGTTTTGTCACGCTCTTCAAGTTGTGTAACATGAAACCAACCCTTTGCTGTATTAAACCCTACAGGCATGTTTTTAGTCATTAACATGTGTGTGTTTTGTCAGTGTTTGCTCTCAGTAGATGACCCTGCTGTGGTGTAGAACCTCATTAGTGTGTGTGTGTGTGTCTGTCTGCTGTTCAGTGGCAGGAGATGACGTCAGACATCAAGGGAAGAGAGGGTGTTTTCATAAAAAAAGAAATCCACTGTGACTCAGCCTGGTTAGTAAAAGATTATTTCAATCTCTGCACACCTGCAGGAAGGAAATGGTACACATCTTCAACCGTAATATTTTGCAGGAGTAATTGTAATATGATTCATAAATCTTTTTTCCTGCAAAATCTTTCCCTCACTGATGGAATAAGAGCAGTGGGGCGTTCTGCCGAAGCAGATGGTTTTTCAGATAAAACTAATGATCCATTTTTGTGATGGTTTTGTAGTCTAGTATTTTGTTACCACAAAGTTGACAGTGATGTCATTAGAGCATATCTCACAAATGTTATGCTTTATTTCCTTTATGCCTATTCCATGCGTTTTTTTGTGTGTTTCACAAATCCTGTATACATTCTGTATTTTAGATTTTCAGATGTTATTATGTAATGGAGTGTTCCTGTGTATGTAATTGTAATATAGTTGGCTTTACTTTTGGTGTGACA